CCTTACGAGGAAAACCATAAACCTTTAATTGTTTCTTTATTGTAAATATTGAAGCAGGAAATGGATATGAATAACCATCAGAAAATTATTCCTTCATTCATTATTTCTTTTCCTCTTCTCCCAGCTCCTAATCAATCATATTGCATTGAACCCTTCTGTAAATGGATCGTAGAGAAGAGCGACACATGAAGACGTATCTTGATGAGGAGTCAAGATGTATATGTAAGTGTCGTTGCATCGTGCACCAAGATTTCTTTTCATGAAAACTCGGGAGGTAAGGGATATAATGTATACAGGGATTTTGTCAGATTCGTTTATATACATGATGTTGGGATTTATTCTCCCTCAAGGCAAACGAGAAAGATCATAGATATTATTGGAAGAATTGGATTTATTTGTTAACTAAGAAAACATACACCTTCAACCATAGCCTATTGATGCAAGGGTCCGTACTCAGATCTAACTCTGATCCCCTTGACCTTGGTGTAGGGCAATTGAATGACCTCGTATAGAGAAACCAACCAAGTCCATCCCAAGCTCTAAATTTCCCTTGCTTGAATAGGATACAAACCTCCTGAACTTATCCAAAAACATTGAAGTTAAAAAGAATCAAAGACATAATCCCAACACATTGATCCTACCAAATAAGATTTGTGGCACTTCTGGATTTATCTTGATTTTGGGAAAACAAGATGCACCTTGTGGTTGTCAGGACGTAATTTATGTAGATTTCGCGAAGAAATTGGAGAAGAACAGATTTTTTGGAGCTGACAGACATTTGGGTGCTCTCCGGTCGACCGGCAACGTGCACGACTTGGTACAGATTCTGGATCTTTGTCCGGTCGACCGTGACGATTTCGACGGTCGACCCCCAAACCCTGTAATGGTTTTCTGGATTCTGTCGTTTTGTCCGGTCGACCGCGAGCTTTGGCGTGGCCGACCATGAGTCGGGTTCGGGTCTGTTTTGGTTTCCTGTTCTGTTTAAGATTTGTGTTTGGTATAAATACCAACACACGTTTTAGGGTTTCTTTGGCTTTGATTGGGATTGTTTTGGGGATATTAGGAGCACAGAAAAGAAGTATTTTCTGAGCTATTGATTAGAGTTTTATTTGAAGAGAATTAGAGATTTGTTGGTAAGATTAGTTGGTTAGTTTGAGTGATTTGTAATCTTAGTTTATACTCTTCTTCTCTATTAGTAAAAAACTTCATCCCCTTCTTGCCTCGTGAACATAGGCAACTTGTCGAAACACGTAAAATCGTTTGTTTGTGTTTATGGCATTACTTTTGTTTGTTTGGCCTTCTCTCGGCGTTTGTTTTGATTCCTCGAAGCACATCGGTTGTTTTGGCTTCTGCGCACAACAATTGGTATAAGAGCTTAGGCTACACTTAGGCTAATTGGAGGAGTAGATCGCTTTGGAAGTTTGTCTAGGGCTTCAGTTGGTGATAAATGTGGGATTTTTCCTATTTGTGTATCTCGTTTTCATCGTGCGAGGTGAGATCTTTTGGAGGCTCTTGTTAGGGTTTCAGTTAGAGGTAAAAATATCTCTTTTTCAGTTTGGATCTATTCTTTGTTTGTTCCGCATTGGTTTGTTTGTGCTTTGAAAAAGATGGCAGAGAAATAAGGAGTTGAGGCTGGGATATTGGATTATTGAGAAGTACCTTGACCTGCATATTGAAGTCCTTTGAGCACATTGGTATGAGCAAGGAGACCGAGGTGGAGTTTGGCACTTCTATTCGACGATTGAGAGGTCTTCTAAGTGGTGTTTATTTAGGCATTTGGGGACCTTCCAAAGAGCCATCATTAGGAGGTAATCGATATTTGGTTTCCGCGGTTAGGGATTGTTCTAGGGATTGGTGGGTTGCAACCAAGTCTCGTTGGTGTGAAGTCCTAGAAGTCAACAATAGATGGAGGAAGTGTATTGACAGAAAGGTGATCTGTTGTTTTGATTTTGGTAAGGGTCCTTCCTTGCGTTTGTGTCGAGCTCACGATAGTTTGAGACACTTCATTGGAGAGGAAACATTGGGACGACGAGATGAGATGATAGTTTTGATGGGTCATTCCTTGCTGGAGGAGGATGAGTGTTAGTTGTCGAGCATTGGATTGCAGAGAAGTTTTGGAGCTTTGACATATTTGGGTCATCTTAGTCATAAGTTGTCGACTGCTGCGTGTGAAGATTTTGGATCTGGTGGAGCTGTTTTAGATTTTGGGTTGCGTCGGATGTTTGGTTGCCCAGCATTTGATCACATCACGGATGTGAGATTTGATCCGATTGTACATTTGAGATTTAGATGCTCGTTTGGTTATCAATTGGGAGACTCTGATTTTGTTCTGAACAGGTATGTCACATTTGACTCTCGGTAAGTGAAGAGTGTTGATCAGATCGTTAGGATATCACAGCGGGTGAAGTGTGATGCTACTCCACGTTGGGTGGAGATTACTCTACATACTCCAGATCATACTGTATTGTTTGGGATTCCAGCTGATGTGACACCGATTGGGGATCATGTTGATTTGGATGCAGATAATGAGTTGGTTGATTCGAGTACAGCTGGTGGACATAGTTTGGATTTAGATATGGCCGTTGGTTCACCTCAGATGGAGGTGTTTGGTTTGTTTCACTTTGGTGCTATTGAGAGTGCTATCAGCCACAAATTTATTAGTGAAGAGTTAAGAACTCTTCTATTTGATTGAGGGCCTTTGGAGGCTATTTAATGAACTACGTGAAGACTTGATTCCTTAGGCAAGAGGATACGTAGACAGATTTTATGATGCAGTCGGGCTCAGTTTTGGGAAAACTTCGCCGAGGTGGAGAATTGTAGATTTGGCGAAGAAATTGGAGAAGAACAGATTTTTTGGAGCTGACAGACATTTGGGTGCTCTCCGGTCGACCGCGAGCTTTGGCACGGTCGATCGGTAACATGCACGACTTGGTACAAATTCTGAATCTTTGTCCGGTCGACCGCGACGATTTCGGCGGGCGACCGCCAAACCCTGTAATGGTTTTCTGGATTCTGTCGTTTAGTCCAGTCGACCGCGAGCTTTGACGCGGCCGACTGTAAGTCGGGTTCGAGTCTGTTTTGGTTTCCTGTTCTGTTTGGGATTTGTGTTTGTTTGTGTTTGGTATAAATACCAAAACACGTTTTAGGGTTTCTTGGGCTTTGATTGGGATTGTTTTGGGATATTTGGAGCACAGAAAAGATGTATTTTCTGAGCTATTGGTTATGGTTTTATTTGGAGAGAGTTAGAGATTTATTGGTGAGATTAGTTGGTTAGTTTGAGTGATTTGTAATCTCAGTTTGTAATCTTCTTCTCTGTTAGTGAAAACCACATCCCTTTCTTGCCCCGTGGACGTAGGCAACTTGTCGAACCACATTAAAATCGTTTATTTGTGTTTGTGGCATTACTTTGGTTTGTTTGGCCTTCTCTCAACGTTTGTTTTGGTTCCTCAAAGCACATCGGTTGTTTTGGCTTTCGCGCACAACAATTTATTGAGATGGAAGATCACTTCACACCATTTTCTCTCCTTACCCAGGGATTTGCCATAGTTCAATACCAAATTTTCCAGAAGCAAGGAATGGATATGGGATCTGATTATATCATACATGAATTCTATGGAAGGGTGACACTTCAAGATCGGATCTGTCTGTAAGGAAGTCTACATGGTTGTGTATTCTTGATTTGAAAAGGGGGCGGGGGGGAGTTGAGGGATGTGAACAGGACGGTGCCTTCTTTTAGTAGGAAACAGTTTCAAAGTTGAGCGCATCCTTTTATATCAGGTCAACTTGGTAAAGTATCATTTACTTTAAGGTGCGCATGCTAAGAAACTAATTAAACCCACAAAAAGAAGGGAAAAAAAAAAAGACTAGCCATCAGGTGCAGGTGCACGTATAAATCCCACAAAAGTTGTGTGTGTGTGGTTGGGGGGGGGGGGGGGGGGGTGTTGCAACTAGCCAGCAAGGCGGAAGGAACTTCTATAATAGTAGTAGTCAGTCTCCAATTAGTTAGAATCTTGATTCATAAGGAATCTATTATGTCACTTAGTTATTAGAATTTTTCACATTATTCCTAATTGATAAAGACAAATTTTTTAGTTATTTACAACTCTCTTTTGGATTTACCTAGAATTAGTTTCTTAAGTGGTCAGGCAACATTTTTATACAAAAGGGATTGCCTTCCTCTAAAAAACAAAGTTGAATGGTGATTGATAATTAAACTGGAGTTTTCCAGTGGTTGGTGCCTTTAGGGTATGAAATCCTAATCCGATATATGAAAACTTATCATAGTCAATGTAAAAAACACATAAAGATGTGAAAACTAGGTCCTATCTACTTTCTTGATAAATCTCAACAAAAAATACAAGTCATCAGTTTAAAAACCACATAAAGATGTGAAAACTTGGTCCTGTCTACTTTCTTGATTTATCTCAACAAAAAGTACATAAAGATGAGACTTATCATAGTCAGTGTAAAAAAACAGATAAAGGTGTGAAAACTTGGTCCTATCTACTTTCTTGATAAATCTCAACAAAAATAGAAGTCATCAGTTTATCCCATTCAATACCTAATTTCACAGATTCTGCATCACACAGTAATGGAAAGTGTATTACCCCTGTAAATTGACATATTATAAGCAAGTAAATCACACATGCAGCAAGTCAACAGACTTAGCCATGAGAAAGTGACGATGATTCATTTACTTTATCCTATAAATTATCATATCACATTTTAATACAGATAATTATACTAAATGCGACACAAACAATGAACTGGAAAACCTGATAGATCCAGCCGACTCAGGTCATAATGGTCTCATGTTGAACTAACTCTTCATCTCCTCTCCCTGAAGGTACTTGACAACTCCATAAGCAACGGTGCCACCCACAAACAAGAAAACAGTTGGAGTGAAGGAAGGATACAGATACTTCACGAAAAAATTATCCCAATCTTCTGGCAAGAATCCTGCAACACCACAAAACATGCAACAGTTGATAAATTAAAAAAGAAAACCTAGATCCCGAATGACTATTCACTTTAATAAAAGGATTAATCGGAGATACAGCGCTTGTTTAATAGGAGATTAGCCACATATTAGTCCCAAACATTTTTATTAGCACTTAAGAGTGTCTGATGACCAAGTGGAGCTAATTCTCAGTTATTGATACATGTATTATAAGGGGTATATGTCCAACACAAATAAGCACATAGGGAGTTTCTCTGGACAACATTGAAGTATTAGGAGATATCTTTGCAACACAATGAACGTTATGTGACAACCGTGTGACAGGCATAAATTACAGTTTAACAGAGATTTAATCTACTGCATTTGGATTCTGAGAGGTCTGAGTGCTAATTAAAATAAAAAAAATTCAGGGCTGATACGTGGCCAACCCCTTGTGGCATTTGGGATATGTTTACATTTAACCTTCAATAATAAATCAAAATATTTCACACTAATGGTTCAAAAGTAGAGTAGAAAATGGACGATCATGTCAAAGGAGTTACTCATGTTACTTAGATATATTTTCAAGCATCACAAAGACTACAAAGTTACAAAAACGATGTCGACCTAATGGATCTGATGTATTGCAGAGTTTGACATACCATGCAATTTAATTTTGAATTATGATTTTTGTATATATTAGATGCTTTTGTAGACAACAAGAATACCAGATAGAGTTGACTTCAGGTTCTTAAGATTACAATAAACAATTTCAAAAGTCAATAATTTCATAGAGGCCAGAGACCTTGTTGGATCATTACCTTGCATCTGTTTTTTTTTAAATAACAGCTACTCGAATTTGAGGTCTTTGTAAGACTTAAAAAAAACTATTTTCAGGTGAAATAACCATGAAAAGGTTCTACTTCGAGAAGCTTCCTAATGCACTCTTCAAGTCAATATCATTAAAGTTAGCATAAGCAGCCTACTCATTGTTCATGCAAGTTCTTCTCCTCCCTTTAAGGTATTTTCTCTCACAGATATTATCATTCTAAAATTTATGGTTTAGCAAAACAAGCTCATTCACCAAAGCGTCACTATTTCCAATCGCCATTTAGCTTAACCAGTTCTTATACTTGAGATGCATGTTGTAAACTAGCACTGCCTGTTACACCTAAAACATGCCTAGGGCACAATATTTATTTGGAATTATGTGTGATACTTTTGTATTCAATCAGTACTTGTTGAGATGATAAACATCCATGCAGGGTAAAAACTTAATAACACCAAATAATCTTGGTTTCTCCTTCTTCACTTGCTTAAGCTATTCAAATAATCAGCACAACAGAGACACGTATAACTAATTTGTGTTGGTGATAAAGCTAATGCAGTTACTAATAACTGCATTTAACCCTTAATCAAAATGCTATTTGTCAAGATCTTATCATATAAATGTTAGGGTCCATTTAGTCCCATGTTGGCTATACGGGTAGTTTGATGCATGTTTATCAAAATCTGGATTCTCTCTGCCCAGCAGGTAGCTTCTAGGAGCAAGCCCCCTAAGTATCTAACAAATGATATCAGAGTGACCGTGTGAATTCAATTCTTTCCAGTTGCAATCATGAGGTGATGACAATGGCATTGTAGTGTGGTCTAGGGTAGCACCGGTACAAAGCCAAAGTGGTGGTGACACCAGTATTATGTATTTGACCAGGACTGGACTAGTGACAAAGACAACCTGCATAGTCCACAAGGCTACGCAAACGTTGATATCAGGACTGCAGAATTGTGGTGGTATATTAGAGTCCATTTAATCTCATATTAACTATATGGATAGTTTGACGTGGGTTGTTGAAATTTCGGTATTTTCCTCTAACAGCTCCCATATAGGGACAAGCCCTCCTAAATCCCATATTAACTATATGGATAGTTTGATGGTGAACACTCACTTCCTGCTACACCTAATACATACCGGAGGTAAAACATTTATTTGCAATTCTTTGTGATAATTTTAGTGTTCGATATTTTTTCTCGTTGGGATGATCAATGTCGACTATAGAAAGCGACAACCCCAATAACACCAAATAAAATCCCGGTTTCTCCAGCTCTTTGACTTTCTCTGACTATTCAAAAAATCATGGTGTCAGAGGTACATAGAACTCACTTTTGTCCGTGTTAAAGCCTACGCAAGAGCCATAACTACATTTAACCCTCCATCAAAATACTATTGGTCAAGATCCTACCATGTAAATGTTAGGTTCCTTTTAACCCCAATGTATGGATAGTTTGATTTGGGTTTATCCCTCTCACATCTAATTTCGAGGGATGAGCTCTCTTAGCCTCTACCAGACAACTGTGTGAAACTAATATTGACAGAGTTAGCACAAATCATACTATTGCTCACATTTTACCCAGTGGAAGCACATTAACAAACAAAAATCCAAACATTTGAAACCTCATAGACCAAAATTAACAACATGGGTCAAATCCTAATGAGATAAATAAATACCTGAAGCCGCAAGCAAAATCCCTTCAACGAAGATCAACAGGCCGAGCCCCAACCAAGTGAGCAAGAAAGCAGTCTCGTTCGGGCTCTGCTGCTGCTGACCCTCGGAAGGCTGAAGCTCTTCTTGCAAGAGAGAGGGTTTTTGGATAGGAGAGCGTCGAATGATTTTGTCCCTGCCTTCGCCTTGATTCTTCTTCTTCCTGGGCTCCGAAGTTGGGCCGAAGCCGGTGGGCTTGGAATCTGGGAGCTGGGCCTTTGGGATGAGATGGGCTGCTCTTGGTTTGGTTGGGAGTGAGAGAGTGAGAGAGAGGGATGAGAGAAGAGGGAAGGGTCGATGGGAATCGAGGAGAGAACAAGAGAGCTCCATGTTTGTTGTTAATATTTTTGGCTCTTTATCCCTTCATTTGATTTTGTTTGGGACCAACAGCTCTGCACCAGCTTCAGTACTAACAAGCTTTTACATGTGGGATAAATAGGGTTGCACAAAATATCCGCATCTGTTTAGTGTTCATGCTAGCATAAATATTATAGCATAAATAGTAAATTACATCTCATAATACAGTAATTTATTGTATTATAAATAGTAACTCAAATCTACTTGATGTTATTATTTATGTTACAGTGATTTGTTATATCATAAACAGTAAAACAAATCAAATATATTAAATCTTGGATCCTTCTTTAAGTATAGAGGAGGAGATATGATTTCTATATCAAATGTATTAAAACTTGGATCATTCTTTAAGTATAGAGGAGTAGATATGATTTCTAAATTTTAAGCATATAATAATTAAATCAAATGTGTTAAAATTTAGAGGGAGGCAAGTTCAAAATGCAGTGCTTAAAAAATAGGGGGTCGTGCTTTGCACGGGTTGCACACTAGCATTCCAAATATGCAAATATATATTGGTCACATTGTCGCAACCATTTTAATTATTAGGTCAATAGATTTGAGGTTAATTTTGATGATAAATATCTTAGCTTTCCAAATATAACAGATATATTAACAAATTCTTTTGTATCATATAAACTATATTTATTTATTTTTCAATATTATCTAGTTTTTTCATCTCTATTGTGTACCTGCATGTATACCCGCTTATATATCTACATGCATATCTGTATCCATATCTGATTTTCCCGGATTTGGATATGAATTTTTCTTACCGAAGCATTTTTGTATCCACATCTATATCTGTGATTGATAAACAAATACAGATATGGTAAGTATAATATCGAGCTATATCCAGACCATATGCACCACTAGTGATAAATTTGTAGTCTGTAATTTGATCATGTAGTATAAATCTATAATTTAAATATTTGATAAAAAAATTAATTTTCGACTCAAAGCTCTCAAATTTAGCATAAAACTTTAAAGTACAACAAAAAACCCAAAAAAAAGTGGAGTGTCAAAATATAATATAACATGTTCTTAATAAGCAGATGAATCAAACGTATAAATAGCCATGTTTATCACACGAGACATTAATCTATAAAATAAAAGTTAATTTCTTGCAAAAATTTCTTTTTTTTTTTTTGCATAAGAAGGAAGGGGTAGTGGAGTGGAATTTTGTTACTGGAAAAATGGAGGTGGGTCTTCTACCTCTTTTTAGTTTTTTTTTCATGGAAATCATCTTTAATATAGAATCATTATACAAACACTATCTTTTATTTTCAATTTACATGTAAACCATCTTTAGTGATTTTTTATTCCAATCAATCACTTCCTAATCAAATTTTCACTAAAAAATCAAAATAAGCTTAAAAATGAACACTTAAGGTATGTGACTTATATCCTAAATAGATTTAAGCTTTAAGAAAGTGAGTCACCTATCTTAAATGCGACTTTTTAAGGGTATTTTTTAGTTTCAATAAAAAATTTTACTTCAAGGTGGTTAATTGGAGCAAAAATCTACTTTAAAAGTGGTTTACGTATAAATTAAAAATGAAAGGTGGTTTTCGAATAATAGCCTAATTTTAAGTTTCTAAGAAAAAAACATTTTTTATGTATGAGTTTATATCTATGATGCATTGACACATATGAAAGATAAATGAATATCTAGAATAGATGTATAATTTCAATAAAAACTCAAAAAGTGACCATATTGATGCGGGCTAAATTGACAGATTTGTATAATTAGCGAGATCTGTTGATGCACGAAATCAACTTACAGAATTGAGTCTATAAGATTAGACTATCATAGAAGGCTCCTCGATCAGCTTTGAACAGAAGTAGGTCTTTGCTTCTAGGTGTAATTGAGTTTGCTTGGCTTAGCCTGAGATCACAAAAAAGCGTCAGATTGACGACATTTGCTTGTCCTTCATGAAAAGATCTTAAACAATAGGTGAATATGTTAAGGTTTTAGAGGAAGATAGTCCTTAACCCAAGTCAGTAGTTGCAAGCCTAGGTTAAAGTTCCATCATCATAACTTCTCTTAGGTACGATGGATATTTATGTTGATTGCTTAGGGCTGATTAGCCTCTACATGTGTTACTATCCTGATGGCTGAGGATGTTTCGGTGTATAGTTGGACCATTAGGTAGTTACCGAGCCTACAAGTTATTTACTTAGGCAGCAAGTGTTACCATGTGACATTGCCTCATTGACGTAGGATAGTATAGTTGACGCATGTGTGGATTGACCAGTTGTGAAAGTAGGTAATTAAAGAGATTGGTTATTTGATTGATATATCCTAACATGGTATATGGCGGATAAGATCCATTTTTAAGGCAGACCACTCGAGAAATAGGCCCGAATTAAGATAAAGTATGACAATCGACGTGTTGAGACCAGTTATCATGGACTCATATCGTTCTCCCCGGACTTCGGGTCACATCCATGGGCTATAACTGAATTGTACGTCGAGTGCGGATGTCCTACACCTTAAGGAGTTAAAGTGCATGTCTAGTTGATTAAGTCAATATGTCATCATGAAGTGGCTTGATTAATCCAATTAAAAAATCTGGATCGTATGCATAACAGTGGCCCCTACACCTAAGCTAAGATGAAAGTCTAGCTTGGCTCGAGGTTGGAAATAGATAAGATTCAAGTCTAGTCCATGTCACCCATGATTTGTCTAAGCATTTATACAAATCTCTCGAATGTGCGGCCAGGACTTTTGTCATCATGAAGATTTTACATTGCGTTATTTCAACTTTAGTGAGATATTCTCTATAATTACAACATGTACCATGAGGATTTGATTCTCTAACTCCTTTCTTATCTAGTCAAAATATTCTCGATCTTCAATAGTTCCCAAGGTCTTGATCGTGGGGCATCTCCTATCTCGATGCAATTACCATGAACAACAGCTGACCCCATAATTAGAGCGTCATTTTTTATTTTTCCTGGTTATAAATAAGGCAAGCAACTGTGGTTATCTGTATATCGGCAAGCCTCTTCCGTGAAAGAAATCCTCCTCCCAACCAAATTGCCATTGTTGGCTTTAAAGACTATGTCTATCGAGGGTTCATCAATTCTTCCTTTAGTAATGAATTTCCATCTTCATGGATGATTCCCTCATTCCTATAGCAAAAGAACATTGTCGCCCATCATGCTAGGTGGTTTTTCATAATTGGGTCGAACACCCTCGTGACACTACTCTTGCATGCTATGTGGTGTTTCATATTAAGATCGGGGTCTCTATGCTGCGAAAGGGATAGAGTGTGGTAGTCATATGCATCCTATCTTTCCAGGACTAAGCATTTGGGACAAGGCATTTTCCCTAGCAACAAGATTTTGCGCTCTGGCTAAGTTTGATTTCCTGTATGGGATCCTGTCAGGTTGAGAAAAACTTAGTGCAGTCTTGGAATTCGCTTTAATCTCAATGAACTAGGTGAAACTCTCCTAGTTTATGTTTCTCAACCGGTTTAGCATCAACTAGACGAACTCCATCTAAAGGCTATGTAAGCTTGAATAGATTTTGATCTAGCATATGCATACTTTGGATAGAAGAGCCTTGGCTATGCTAGTAAAAGAGCAGTTTGGACCAAGGCGCTTTAGTGCTTTGAGTTAGAATATGGCAAACTTGCTACCCAAGATACCTCTTGGGTTTAGCTACAACGTCCTTTGAACTGTCCACCAGCCTAATTTTATGGATGGGGACGTCGTTAAGCTGGTCCAGAAAAATCACAACTGGGCATAGGGCCAACCTCCTTTCACGAATCAAAGGTCTACGGTCGAGTCTTCTCCTGCTAGGACTTTAGAAGATCATCCCTTACACTGTTATACCCTCGTTATCTATTTTATTTGAATAAATATATTGTCTAATAATGACTTCTTATATTAATTTACAAGTAATGGATAATTAATCAATAAGAACCAAGAAGAATTCCCTTAATTTTTTACCATTTATTGAATCCTAATATCAAGTCAAGAGGAAACCCACAAAGCCTAAGAGATCGAGAAAAAATCGGGTCAATAAGTCAATAAAAGAATTAATTCTATTAAAAGCCAATTTATTAGCCAACTGATTGGCTAATCGATTGGCTAAATGAAGCTACTAATTAGTTCGTAACAGAATCATTTAATGGCTAAGATTTGTTTTTTAAAATTCAAGACAAATCCAATGGCTCTTTTTGATTGCTATAAGCTATAAATAGGGTAGAGAGTGAGGAGTTTTGTGTGAAAATCTTTGTAAAAACTCTATTTTGGAGAGAAGTGTCACTCTTAGTTGAAAAGACTTTTTAAAATTGTAAACTTTTTATTTACAATATGTAAAAACTTATATCTTCCTTTTTAGTTTTTCTTCTTATTATCTGTAATGACAAATATGAAGATTTGCTTACAAGGGGTCAAGACCATGCAACATAAGTTTTTTTTTTTAATTGCATATTTTAATATTTTATTTTTTATTTTTATTTAATGTTTGGTAGATTAGATTTATTGCTTTGTAGTATAGATTTATTTCATGCTTTTGTAGTGTAGAGTTATTTATTGTCCTTTTATATTTTGATTTTTTATTTCTTTTTTTATTGCTTGTAGTTTAGATTTACCTCTTATTCGTCTATGCTTATTAGTATAGATGTTATTTTCTTTTTTATTATAAAATGAGTAATTAATTCTTGTAAAAAAATCTAAGATTGTATCAAGGTTGTTGAATTTCTTTTATGGTTTATGGATTGCTCTCTTTATGCATAAATTGATCATGTTTAGAATAATTAACTAGAGAACTAATTGGTAGAATAAGAATTTGATAATCTATGTTTATCTTGAGTGGTTTGAAAGGTTATGCTTATGAATTCTATAATTACTATATATTTCCTTGTTTTTTTATGAATAGTGATTTTCCTTGGATAAAATTTTGATAGGTTATGCTTTTCTTAAGTGATTTGATTGTCTATGATTAATAAATTAAAGTAAAATATAATAAAAAGTGACTAGTTTATCAATTCTATTTGAAATAAATTTGTGGTCTTAATTCTAGATTTCTAACTTAT